TCGATTCGCTCTCTTCCTCGGCGCTTGGTGAGATACATTTGTCAATCATGATAACATCAATAAGGGAAACATCAACACCCGATTTCATGATGGAGACAAAATTAGAAAGCAAGTCACGGCAATTGTTAACTTTGTTATCGGCAAGATGAAGATTATATAAAGAGACAAAGTAATTTAAAGCTTTCTCAAGATTATCCAATGAAATCGTCTCGTCGAATTGATCTTTCTTGAGTAATTCAATGAATCCATCAATCGTTTTCTCGTGAGTCTTCAGTTCGGGATAAAGTGAAGCTATTTTGAGATACAATTCAATGGAACACGATTTCAAAGAATCAGTATATTGGCCCAGAATCGTTTGAATAGATGACAAAAGGAAAAGCAATCGACGAGTGAAACCTTGTTGTCTAATCGTTTCATTTGTTTTCTTGATCACAGAATCTGAGTCAATACAAGCCTCTAATTGATAATCTTCCACCAGCGGGTATTTTTCAACGATCTGACGAGAGATTATGTCACATTTTTCGAACATTCTAATGACAAAGAGAAGCACTTGTATAGCATCATGATCTCCTCCGGGCATGAAGAAGCTTTGAGGTAAAAATTTAGATAAAAGTTTAATTTGTTTCTTATATTGTGTCACTTCCAATCTTCGAAGATCCATTTCAACGGCATGAGCGAAGGCTTTTGATTCAGCGAAACGCATTTTAAATTCAATGTTTTCCACTTGCTGTTCTTGACTCTGAACTTGAGCGAGGTTTCCTTGTTTACGAAGATCCGAGTTTTCATCTCGCAACGATTTCACAAGTTCTCTGAATTTCTGAATGGTACTTTCGTAACTGGCTAAGGCTTCTTGTCCATCTTCTACTTTCTTGAGAAGGTTGTTTATTTTGGTTCGATTGAGATCCAATTCTTCACGAAGTTCCAATTCCGTGTCACGAGCTCCTTCTTGTAACTGTTCATTTATCTCGTGAATTTTATCGAGATCGTCTACCTCTTCCTGAAGGGTTTTCACTTTATCTTCGAGTTCAAGATTTTTCTCCGTCAAAATTTCGACCATTTCTTGAGAACCAAGAGCGTCATCAATCTGTTCCTTTAACTCATTGATATTTTCCTCTAAACTGCTAATCTCTTTCTCGTATTTTTCCTTCAATTTTTGTAGCTCACTCACTTGATTAAGAGATTCTTTCAAGTCTTTTGTAATCCTTGGTTTCCACCTTATCAGCTGATAATATATCTCTCAATTTAATGATCGCCTCATTGTAACGAGCATTTTGTTGTTGAAGTTGCTTAACCTCATAAGCATTGGAAACACCATCACCATGAACATCAATCTCACTTTTCAACAATTCGAAATCAATTGAAATTTCTTCCAATTTTTCTTTCAATGTTTCATTTTCCTTCAATAATTGTTCATATTTTTCTTCAGCCATTTCTTTATCAAGACAAGCGATTTCCGCTGTTTCTGCCAAATCCTTCATCTCTTCAGCATGACGAGCTTTATCAGCAATGGCTTCTTCAGCGTCTTTTTTAGCTTGAACTAATTGTTTCTGCAATTCAGCCCTTGATTCAAGAATTTGTTTCTTAAACTCTAATAACTGTTGGTTTTGAATCTTGATTCTTTCCATTTCCTGGATCTTTCGACCATCTTCAGCTCGTTTGATTTTCAAAGTCAATAATTTCTCTTCAAGATCTTTCACTTTCGCTGGATAATCAATGGGCCCAGTATCAGGCGTTCCTTGAGCTTGAGTGGCCATAATCAGCTAACACCAATAAACTAGAATAAAACAACAATCAATTCAAAATAAAGAGTAACAATCAAACCAAATACTTACTCAAATTTTGTATCTCAATAAACACCCATAAGAATCCAAGGCTTTAAACAAGTAACATCAAAAGGTCAACAATATCTAGACAATTAAAATAAACATAGACAACAGTTAAAGGCCCAATCAAGTTGTAAACTCTAATCAATTGATTAGAATCAACTTAGTAAAATGTAAACATAAAACAATTAACCAGAAACTCAATTGACAATTGGGTAAAAAAAAATTCTGATCAATTTGATTTTCAGGCCATATGATCAGGAGATGAATTCTTACCCAATAGGTGGCGCTTTTGTAATTGTCTTCAAATTATTAGTTGATTGATTTGAATTAAATTGCGAGAAAATTGTGACAAGATGATTTTACTTTAATTGTTTGAACATTTCTACAAATTGAACTTAAAAATGATCACAAATTCGCGAGCTGAGGTTTATTGTTCATTCCATTAGTAGCAGTTAATACGATTTCCGTAGTTGCAATTGTTTTGCTTGACTTTCTCGGACTGTTCATCGCTCTGATTAAGTTAATTGTTGGACCTTCAATGAGAACACTGAAAATAAATGAAATTGAATAAATTACAACAAAAAGAGGAATAACTTCAGAGAAAATTATATCCATCAGAGAAGGGAATGAGTTAGATTGGATGGTTGAATTTCTAAACCTGACAATTAGTAAATTAACAAATAGAACAGATAAATTAATTCTTGAAAGAACAGTGAATAAGTGAAGAGACAACAATTTAGTGATCCATCGATGAGCATAACCATGATAAGAAGTCCAAATTGTCCAGGAAACAATAAATGACCAGAGGATTTTCGAGAACATCCCATAAGCAAGTGAAACCAAATAGGGAACCGGGAAAATGTTCAAATTGATCGCCGCTTCGTAGACCGTTAAAACGACCCAACTAATGGCCCAAATTATCCAGATCGTTGTTACTTTCATCTGAAAAGGTAGAAAAGTCAATTAATCAAAAGATTGACATAAAGATGCCAACAATTATTACCTTGTTAATCTTAATTGATCAGTTAATTTGAAGCCCAACAGAACCCCGATGAAATATGGACTGATATGTCCCCAGGGTTTACCATGGATAAAGGCCAGATAGCGGATGAATCCATCGTCTTGGAACATCAATGGCTGCCAAGTGTGTTGAACTTGCCCGAAGTGCATGATAAGGCCAATGGCCACCGACCCAAATACGATATAAATCATTGTAATTAAATACGAAATTTTAAATTTCCCCTTTAAACTTGGAATCAGAATAAGTAGAAACATAACCGCGAACAGATAATCAGCCTCAAGGTACCAATCAGCTAATAGACAAAGTTGAGAGTCTTCACCAATATTGAAATAGTGAGCGATCAACAGCATGTGCAAAGGCCACTTATGGCCACATTTAACGGGAATGGTTCCTGTTGCTCTGAAGAAAGGCCAATAAGGTCCACCGACCCAATCACGGGTGTGATTAGAAAATAGTATAATATAACAACAGATTGTCCAGCCAATGACTGTTGCGAATCGAAGATACCTTTGAACTAGAAAACCGGTCAAGTTGAAAGGTCTTTTCGTTGGATTAATGTGAGGTCATTTCGAGTCCAGTTATCAGAAAGAAAGTGTCCACTGTGAAAGGACCCAAGAAAAGGTGATAACTAAGGGCGAAGTTGATGTTCCGGGAATTTTGAAAACGAAATGTACTTTGGATAAAAAGAAGGAAAAATGTGCACCAATATCATAAAGGCCATTGTGATCGATTTTATTCCATTCAGTGTCGGAATATCAGCGTCAATGGACCGAGGTTGGAACAATCGTTTCCAATTGTTTCCATGTTAAAATGCGCTAAAATTGTGGACCTCGAACTCCTCCAATCATTGTACCAACAACATTCAGCGAAACCACTAATATGATGATAAAACCCGCGATCATTTCCCGAAATACAATCGGATTGAACTCTGAGCGATTGGTACAAAGATCAACATCAACGGTAAATCCAGTTCGATAAAATTGATGACCTTTAACAGCGATTGTTTTGATTTCATCTTTAGAACACAATTTAGGTACACAAAGTCCCGTTGTCAAATTAAGGTAACGGAAAAAATGAGCGTACGTGGTCAAGTAACTGAATGTCTCAGTGGTCAGATTAAACTGTTGCCCGTTAATCGGCCTGTGCCAACCCTCGCGAGGATTAGGTAAAGGTAACGGCATTTTCGAGAACATGAAACAATATTGAGTTCCAGGTAGTTCGAGGCACTCATGAAATGAACCCGAATCAATCCAAGTACCATCAAGTAGTCCTGTTGGTAATCCTCCCATAGAATCAAATTCTGGTTCAACAATCAACAATCAATCAACAAAAAATTAGTGAAATTCAATCAACAATCAATTGAAAAACAATCAAATCGATGGATCTGATTGTGATCAGTTTAACTATTATCAATTATATCTCAGGGTTATGATGCAATTCAAGTCTTCATCTTAATTAACGAATCAGCAACATTAAGCAATTAAATCATTAATACTTACGTTTAAGTGCATTAACTTTCATTAATTTAATGTCACCAATAAAATTTTCAATTGACTTTTGACATTGATTTGAAATGTGATGATTTAATTATTGTACTAACATCCGATGCATAATGATTAACTAAATTGTTGACAGAAAGTTTAGTAAAATTTTCTAATTGTTGCCAAGCAAGACGATAATCCAATTGATTAGTAACATTATTATTATTATTATTGGATGAAACAATTAATGCACTTGAACTGATTAATCCAATTGAAAGGAGCACAAAAATATCAAAACTAAACATGATCTAATTAACAGTTAATAGAATCAAGTAAATATGAAAGTTAAACATGAACAATTAAACGAAAAAATGATCGATAATCAATGACAATTAACAAAAGTGAATTAACAAATTACCATAAATAAAAGACAAAACAAACAATTTGATTCATTTGATTGAAAGGTGATGGTGATTCAAGGTAATTCAAAGTTCGACTGATTGTTAACAATTAAGATCTGATTAAATCGAGGAGAAAGTCTTAAAATGGACGTTAGAACTTTTTTTTCACATTCGATCGACTCGAGAACAAATCAAGCTTAACGAAATTGATTAACCCGGTCATCACAATCAACTTAATCATCATCATCATGGTTGCTGATTATCATTACCTTTTTTTTCATCATTGATGATGATCGTCTTAATCACGATTTAAATTGTATACAATTCCTTCAATGGATCAACAATTTAACTGATCAATGATTATAATTAACTTTCAATGGATTAACTTTTGATGGTTCATTATGATCAATTGTTATCAACAATCAACTAATCAATGAATAAAAAAATAACTAAAACTTTTTGATTGTCTGTTGATTGGGAAAAAAGGTCAATTCATTGGTACGAAGGTGATAATTGATTTAAATATCATTTTAATTGTTAACAATTAGGTAAACAATAATATTTCCTTTGCCAATGTAAACATTTTGATTAACTGATCATCATAATGTTTACAATATTTAATTTAGTGGTTAATACAAAAGTTAATTATAATCAAGGGAAAAGTTATTAAGAGTTAATTGTTTTGCTATTTGACCTGTAAAAATAATTAAATTTACTCGCGATAATTTGTTAATTGTTACAATCATCTTTCAGGTCATTGAAGGTCACCCAGATTTTTTAATCGTAACCATTGATAACAATTAATGATTAAACGACTATTAAAATATAATTTAACCTTAAGCTAGATTAGAGTCTTGATCAATATCATTGATTGTTAGCAATTGATTAGTGTGAATTACGTTTAAATTGTCGCGTTTAACCAAAAATGATGATAAACTTTCAGATTCAATAGTTTCCTTGTAATTAAAAGCTCCTAACAATTAGTCGATCAAATTTATTACTGTTAATTGTCACAAACTAATATATAAAAAATCAGTCAATTCTTTTAGTATCCAATTAGTATTGCAACATAAACCATTCTATTAATTGTCTTCGATTAATTTTTGGATCCTTATTGCAACTCTAATCACTATTATCCTTATAAACGATCAACAGGTAATTTAGAGAGAAGAAATTAAATTTACTTGTAATCAGAATTGAATAAAATATCGTTTCTCACAATTTATCATTTGTATCGACCTGAAACCTTATTCATAAACGGAAAAACGGCTCTAAATTCAAAGCCATCGACAACAATTTAGAAGATGTTAAAATTACGATTGCTTTGAATTGAGATGATTGAGTTATGATAATTTCGTTATAATTAACAATTACCCACAGAACAGCAAAAGAGATGATTGATAGAATCTGTTATATTCATGTTTCATGATGTTATTTTCAACTAACTGATTGTAAATGAAAATTTGATCAACAATTGATTCACTCGCGAAAGTTTCATCAATAAGACACTTTTTTTCAATAATTTTTAAAAATTATTTAGCAGGAAACTATTAGAGTGATTTTTGATCATTGACTGATGGTTGATTGTGGTTTTTTTAAGTGAAAATTTGGTTTGCGAATGCGAATTTATAAAAATGTATTGATACATTGATGTATGATAATATCTTGATCTTATTTCTAACGAATTTTTATTTAGACCAAGAATTTGTTTATTGATACATATCGAATATAAGCAAAACCAGGTTAGGCACCAGTACCAGAGTCTTCATTGGCTGCTACTTGAGAAAACATAGACAACAATTGTCTTACTTCATTAGTGGATTGATTTTCTTGTGTAGATTTCATGGCAGTATCTATAATATTTAGATCATGAAGATTAGATTGTGGCTCAGGCTGATAACTATTATCAGTTTTGACGATGTTTGTAAAAGATAAAATTGAAAACATTATAATGCAAGTAAATGTTGAACATTTAATGAAATCCATGATGAACTTTTTTTCACAATAACAATTGAACTTGTTTAGTGATGATTATTAACTAGAAGAAAAAATTACACTAGGGCGAAATTAATTTATACTTGTTTTATATGAAAGTTTCACTTGATTTTAATATTCAGAATCTGCTTTTGTGACAAGATCAATAGTTACACAGATATTGGATTTAATTGAATTCAACACTTACTGTAAGAGGCTACAATTTCGTTGAGAGTTTTGTTGCAACGAGTTTAAATAGAACTTTAATTCAGCTGAACTAATAAGTTTATTAAGTGATTAACTTAACCTTTGGTAATGAGAATCCAGAAAATAAATGTTTTTTGAGATTCTATTATTGAC